TCGAACAAACAAAGCTAATTAGCAGCAGCTAACTAGCTAGGTTGGAAGAGGTGGGTGTTCTTGCGAGGTGAAGAGCAATAGAACTAAGGAGTGACTGTGATGCGACAGTACATTTATGTGTAGGCGGAGCCTGACATCTGTCGTCATCACGTCACCTGCCTAAAGGCGTGATTAGAGGTGGCTTCAGCCAGGACACGCAGGGGCGTGGTTCCCATACATGATGTTGTACCTCGTTCCTTTCCTTCAGGGAACAGTAGTTATATGCATAACATTACGATTCTTTAAAGATGACAACTTTGCATTTGGCGTTTGTTAATCTGAAGGAGTCTTTTTTCTAATAAAACTGTTTAATGGGGTCTTTGTTCAAAGTACTTCTACTTGATATTCTGAGACGCTTCTCCAACAACTTAACAAAACMAAAAGAACTCCTCCTAAAGCCTCAAAGACTCCAGATGCCAAACTGCAAACAAATTACTCATAAGATTGAAACTGTACTTAGAACCTGACAAATTTTATTAAAACCATATTTAAATCCAGTCCTCTGAATACAAAYCTAATCAATTTAACAATCTGTGACTGCAGCAAAGCTTTAAGTGGTGCCAGCTGAGCAGAATCTGAAGCTGAATGCCCACAGCCTTGTGCAGTCAGATACCCAGAACAGGAATGTGTCATCTATTACAGACCTCCGTCGAGGGTATCTGAACCAGAGGACATGTGACTAAAACACCTAAGCTGAGACTAGAACATTGAACACGACATAAAACACACAGTCTTACGGTTTTGTATTCATAATATGAATACATTCATCTGAACATAAACCACTACAATAACTGCAACAGCAATGTAGAAAATCAAAACCTGAAACCAGTTTCAACAGCCTGACTCAGCAGCATCCGGCTGACACAATATTTTTAAAAGACCATTTAAAATATTAACAAGCTTGATCAGCAAGATCACAGTTAAACATTGCCTTTTCCATGAAGGAGCTTATTCTTTAAGCTTTAACACAAATACCTTTAAATATTATACTCTTAACAGTTTAGGACCTTTTTAACTTGTAGCTACTTTCAAATGTTGACAAATAAAAAGGAAGCTTGTTTCCACATTAAGTCAAAAAAAAAAGCTGTGTTTAACTATTTTTGATTAAACAGATTAACCTCTACATAAAAAGACCTCAGTCTCAAAAGCTGCATTAAAAAAAAGGGAGGAGGAAAGTTTCCACGGTCTTTTAGGAAGGGAGAGGCAGGAAATTACCGCTCGTGGTTAGCTTCTGACTCATTCCTCGTTTGTAATTTGGCCTATTTTTACGATCTGCGCCAAAATCTGAGCCAACGTAGACCGGCTGGTTGTGAACGTCTGACAACTCACAGTGTGCGCGATGGTGTTAGCATATGTGTCGGCAATCCAGGACATCTCCCTCTCTCCRGTGCTCATGTCTGGCGCCGGGACATCAATGCCGGGCCCTGGTGAACAAAGACGAGAGGAAGRGGGAGGGAGAAGTGGAAGAGTTTCAGCCAAATGTGCAAGTCTGTATGCAGGAAGGCACTTTCCCAGATAGTTAACAGTGTTTGTTCCATGAGGATTAGCTGTGCAGCTTTTCCCACCAGCTTTGCAGCCAGCATGTGTACTTTCATTGCATTAYGATTCAGAGAGGAATACTCCTCATGTCGTTACAAAGATAGCTTTAAAGTTACTATATACGCTGTTTKCGTAGAATTATTTACTTGTTTACTAAGCTGCTATAACTTTTGCAATAAAAGCTTACTGTATATTTGCTAAAACTATAAATTCTATCATGACATTTCTATTTAAACATGAATAAATGCTTTTCATGTCTCAACAAAATAAAAGGCTTTTGCTTTTACACAAGAATAAACATAATAATTAAACTGAACTCAAAGACAAACATCAAAATGATTCAAGTCCACAAATAAATTTAGTGGGGAAAATGGTGCCGTCTGCCTTAAATGAGAAGCCCAATCCTGCACACAGAAGACACTGTCAGACGGAGGAACKATTTATCAAGTGACCACAATACTAGATTACCATTACATCAGTGTTGAGAATGTGATGAAGACAAAATAAATGCATGTTTCTTMATTCACTCGTTTCTTAAAACTAGGTTTGCAAAGTCTACCTTTTTTCTTGCATTTAGAGATTGTCTCTTAAGTTGACAGAACAACTCAAGGTTGTAAGAAAAATAAAAAAACTTTTCTAAAAGATACATTCATCTCTCAACACTACAGAGATTTTAACACTGCAACACAAACAGAGACACAAACTTACCAATGAAACCCTTTTTGGCCAGCTCAATAGTGAATCTCCTGGTGATCTTCTCCAGCTCATTATCCTGCAAAGAAGTGTAGATTCTTTTAAAACAACCTGACAAAAATAAATAAATAAATAAAT